TCGATGCACAGGCCTTCCGCGGCCCCCCAATCATGCATGCTCGTTTTCGATTGTGACAGTGTTGAATAGTGAAGATTTTGTTTTGCCGAGGTCGATGTAAACCGTAGGGTTTGTTGCCGGATTGGCATGACCTCAGAGTTCAGAGTCTGCTTCCTGCACATCTTCATTGGAGTGCGAGAGCTCCAGCATCCAGCTCGAACCTGAAAATGCAAGACCCGGTGCTGTTGACAAAAATGCACCAGCAAGTCTATTGGCGGGCACCCTACTTTGAAGAGGCCAAGCGGTTGGCTGAGATGCAGAACAGCGAAGACGCCCGGGTGGAAGGGCAGGTCAAGCAGAAGGAGGCTTTGCCCAGCTCTTTACGGATCATTAAAGCTCCTCGTCCCCGTACTCCTTTGTGAGGCTGCGGATGAGAAGAAGCGGCTCGATAAGCTAGAGATGATGAGAAGGCAGGGGGGTGGGGGAGTCAGAGGAGAAGGGTAAAGTGCCTGAGAGCTCACAAGAGTACGTCAAGCTGTCCTCAGGTGGGAGGAAGACATTCAAAACAGCCGGCAGGCCGGAACCTGGGTTGCGATACACTCACAGAACACTTTTGAAAGAGTATAGAAGAGCATCTGAGCACAGCTTGGTGGCGCATCTGCTCTCCGCAGGCGCAGATCGAGCGCAAGCAGAACACGCGCGCTCGAGCCGCTTGGCTTAAGTCTAGTGGGCTGCCATTGGGTCGCGTCCTTCCGACTTGGTCCGGGTGTTCCAGTAGCCTCGCACAGGAAAAAGCCGAAGATGCCGAGACTGCCAAATTCTTGTCGGAGTGGTGCAAGGTCCTCGACAAGCAGGACACCTGACACTTTTCTTTCCACGAGCAGCAAGTAGCGGCAGTGCCATCGTCCGAAGGAGCAGGAGGAGAATATCCTCAAGGATGCAGCAGCCCGCAAGCTGGCTCAGGACGGTGTACACACCCCACGCTTTCTGGTCTGTACATCGCGAGCATGAAGCTGTCGTTCAGGAGCACCTGAAGCAGGCCCTGCCCCCAGTTACCGTGCCGGGAGACTCCCTCAGGTTCGGCTGTTCCGAAGCATATCTTGCGAGTCGTGTACTACCGAGAAAGAATCGCCGTGCTCGGCCTTTCTGTGAAGGCGACCTTGACAGAGTGAGAGCCGCAACTGGCTTGGGTTCCTAGGACCTAGGATGATAAAAACCCCCGAGAGCATGTTCTAAAGTAGATGCGCCCGTACTTTGAGAGCAATCGAATTCCTGCGATAACGAATGTTCGTAACATTAGCTCAGATCATACAGTTCCAAAGTCCTGTAAAACGATAAGAATAAAATGAACGATAACCATGTTACGGGTCAAGCAAATGGGTGGGGGGTTTTCACGCACCCTCAGGTTGAGATATCGCGGCGGAAGAAATTCGAGGACCGTCAAAGCCTTTGCTTGCTGCATCATGCCTGACATGAGATGTGCACACGAGCCAGGAGAAGCACTCTGACAAAGGTGTGGCGGAGCATGCCAACAAGGTCATGGAGGTTGCGGTCTCAGTGTTTCCACCCCGCATGCGGACATAGACTTGACTAGACCGCCAGCCAAAGAGCCATGGGAAACCAGTTGTGTCGAGTTTGCAGGATCGTGCTTAGCCGTGGGCTCTCACACTGCTTGTCTTGTTGCTCACCATCTGTTGCTGCGAGTACCACGGTTTCCAACCCCGCATTACACATGGACGCATGGCCGCCCTCCAGATCACCAGGCTTTTCTGAAGCCGTCCAGAGCCGACCATACCAGCACTCCCACTTAGATCTCGGCTGGTACTATAAAAGGGACCACCTCGACGTCGCTCATTGCCTGCTGTGCTGGGCAATGGCCGCAGGGAGTGCATGTCGTGGGGTCTTGGCAGCGCTACCGTAGCTTGCCAACCGTAGCTTGCGAAGAAGGGCCTCTAGTGACGATACACCAGACCAGAGACTGGTGTTCACAGGAAACGATGCACGGCCATACGCCTGCTGTCAGAGTATGTTTGATTGAGGGGGAGGTAGGGCTACCCCAGACTACCCCGACTTCTAGTACCAAGTTGACATGCTGAGTGGCCGGGGCTTGATCAGAGAGGTGGTTGGTGCACGTGCAAAGCAAGACCAACTGAAGATGGTGTCGCTCGTCTTGCGAGGCAGACACGCTCGAGTTTCATGCCTACGCAGAGGCCGCTATCCGTTCGTGTTATTGCTTTGTTGCTGTGGTAGCATATCTTGCAAAAACCCAAGCAGCTCTTCCATCGCCCTCCCAGAAAGTCATCCGGGACTATTCCGCGGAGGGTAAAAATGTCATCCCCCTCATCAAGGACCGGACTACATCTGCGCTGCTTAAGCCTTAAGCAGCTGTGCAAGCTAGGGTTCGTGTGTTCGCACGAGGTTATAGCACGAAACCCAGTGCCTGCAGGAACTTCGAGATTTTCGGAAGCGGGTGCAGGAGTGAGGGCATTTGTAGTGAGGCCTCGGTTCTTGGTGGAAAACTGCTGCCTGAGGACCGAGCACAATTGGCTCTAGTGCTGTCTCAGAAACAATACCCTCTACTGCACTGCTGTTGCGAGCCTTCTCGGACACTGTGAATACTTCGGAGGCAGCGCAAAGTTTCACCCATCCATCTGCATGCTGCGAAGCTGCTAGTCATTGTGCATGGTGGAACAGCACAACCGCACCAGACCCCGGGAGCTTCTAAGCAGAACACATGGCAGGCATGGGTTACGTCTGAGCCCTGCAGTGTCAGGCTGGATTTCACGTAGGTGAACCCTGTCGCATGGCGCTTCTCTGAACAGGACGACAGTGTTTGACTCTGCACGGAGAAGAACTGACAGGTGGTTGCGTTGACGGGGCTCCGTGACGATAACCACGACGGGTGCGAAGCATCCGCCGTCTGCGAACAATGTTTCACAACGCTTAATGAAAAAGCGTTCTCTGTTATGGCAGCTGACTGACATCAGGTGACCACGAATGACCGATTTACGTTTGAAGGCATTGAGGCTGCATGCGTCGCGAGCAGCTCAAGCGCTGCAATCATGAAGGTCCTTTCTGCAAATGGAAAATAGAATCTTGTCGGATGGGTGCATGCAGCGCTCGTTTTACCAGACTTCCCTACAGCACGTTGCTGCATCGCAAGAACAACCCTCATGAACCCAATAGATCTGAGACGTTTAAAAAGTGCTGCTCGCATCTATGGGTGCCACGCCATGTGCGGAAGCACCCCGTTGCAGGTAGCAGCCACATGTGTCATGCACACTTCTACGCTCTTACTCAGATGTTTCTGCCTGCAGGATAACGGACTGCCAGCATGTTGACGTTTTCAAGTCCGTGCTCGGAGCCTGGTCCGACTGAAAGTGGTCGCAACTTGCAGAAGTTGCAGGATGCACCAGAGTACTTTCCAAAGCTTGTTGCACACGTTTCGCACACACCTATCTTGAACAGCTATAGCAACTGCAAGGCCGGTCTCTTCGCTGCCTTCGATGCCATCGCTAAGCGATGCGCCGGGACTCGCGAAGTGCCCGGCTCTCACTCTGACCCCGTCGTTGCCGTCGCTGTCTGCACTGCGAAAGCGCACGCAGGCTGCGAGCAGACCATGCAGCATCCATCGGACAACAGCAGTTTGTTTGAATGCTGGGATCAGGAAGGGTTCCAGAACGATCAGCGTGCCTGTTCACGAGTGTTTTGATGGATGATTCTGCGGGGCAGGAAGTGGATCCTGCAAGGGGCCCAGCATGCGTAGCTTCTCGCAGTAACACCATTCGGCACTAGAGACGCTGAGGATGCGCCACTGAAGGAGTTCACCTACATGGCCTTGGCCTGTGCTTTTCCGCCGGGCCCCGCTACACCTTGTACAGTGGCGCCAGGTCGAGTCTTCCAATCAGGTGCTTCTGGCCGAGGAGTCCCGTGCTCCGGTTCCTCTATCCCTGAGGGACGAGCGGAACTCCGCTGGTCCAGTTTCAAACCCGAAGTGCTGCTAGTAGCTGCCAGAATCTTGCGGCAAAGATGTGCAGAATCAGATCACACACTAAAGGACCTGATCATTATTGTCAAGAGGAGCAGCAGCGAGGAAACCTTTCCCACCGCAGCTGCGACTCGGACATAGAGCGACAGGTCATTGGCCCAGCAATTGACTCAAAGAGTCAGTCAAGACATGTCAAGACCTGCCTAGTTTAGCAATCGGATGAGCAGTTCTGCCACTCCAGGAAGAGTTTTCCAAGCACAAACAGAAGGCCACAAACATGCGATTTGTGCAATCCCCTTGCCTTTGCCACACCACGCTCCGCAGGTGGAGCAACAGCGGGCAGACAGGTGCGCAAGGGCACCTAGAACCTAGGACCATTGGAGAGCACCTGCCCAGATCTTTGTTTTCCGCACTGAGTCCCAGCCTTGGCAACAGGCTGCAGAGGCAAAAGCTGGCTGAGAAGCGCAAGAAGGCAGACCTTCTCAAGTTGCTGGCGTTGGTCTGACACATGCAGAAGGGCCCCTCTTCTTGTCCTGTCTGAGGACCTGGTTCAGAACAGAGGTTTGCAAGAGAGATACAGGCCACGGCGCCCCCGAAGCCGAAGTCGCCGGAAAGGAGAGAGCGCCTCTTTGCTCTTGACCTGCCTGGGATCGCCAGGAGCTTGGGAGTGAATATTGTGAGTGTCGGAGAAAAGGGCATCACGGAAGACACCTAAGAAGTTTTCAAGCTTAGTTTCACCAAAGTGAAGCGCGATGGAGATGAGGGGCGCTTTGCGGTTCGAGATATGCCATGCTCAATGCTGCCAACATCTTTGTCACACAGGGTAAGCGACGTTTGTTCTTAGAGAACTTGTGCGTCTGCCCTTGCTCTCTCTTGGCCCAAAGCTTCCAATGTGGCTTTGACATTTCCGGCGTCCTCCAAGTGTTCTTTCTCGAAACTTTCTCGCGAAAGTTGTGTTTTTTTCCGGTGCCGCCCTCGGTCCTTGGCAGGGTTTGCAGATGAGATGAAGAGCTCTGGAGCTGTCAGGCTTGCAATGGGCGACAATAAATTGATTTTGTTGGTGGCGCAGCTTGCACTAGTCGGGTCTCCCTGGGAGCAGCATGCCCCGCTGAGACATCTGAGGCGTTCAACTGCCGAGCAGAGACTTCCTTCGGACAAGAGATTCGCGTTGTTGGCTCCACAAAGGAGTACTGCTGGGCCTGTTGCAGCTTTCGCAGATTTTTTGACAACCACGGCGCTGATGTTCCAATTGCCAGGCTCGGCAATTGGAACCCCGCGTTGGCTCCCTCGCTAAAGACGGAGGCAGCTCCCCGATGTGCCGTGCAAACAGTGCATGTGTCTTTTTGGGTCAGTCACCATTTGGACGAACTGGCTCAGCAGCTTCCCACAGCACCAGCACACTCAACAGATCACGTGAAGTCAGGACTTCCGGAAGTTATCTGCAGAGGGTCAGTCCAACCTTTCCGGGTCGCCATGGCCGCGACATCCAAATCCGCCACGGCCATCTTACCCACGGCGAGCGCGCTCGCCCGCGGCCCTTTGAGCCCAACTCCACACGCTCTGGCGGGCCCTGCTCTTCAGAGAATGTCGTCAGGGTACGGGCCTTGTGTTTCGGTTTAGTCTGCACCATGACATTGTGTGTCAGACGCCCTGAGAGAAAGTCAGAGACCTTTCCTGTTATTCCCTTGTTGAAAAAGTCAGACTTCATTTATCTGTTGAGACGCCCTCAGACAGCGGTGAAAGTATCAGACGTCCCTGGAACCTGAAATTTGGGACTCAGCCCCGTCTGTCCCGAGGGAGACTTCTGACCATCATGGCGGTCTGGCCGTGCCCGCCGGTCTTCTGGCCACCTGGGTGGCGTCACGCATTAGCCGACATCGTCGGCGACTGGTGCCTAGACAGTTCACGAAAAGTGACAGCGAGGATACAAAGGACGGTGTCAGCTTCGGCTTCGATGCAACCTTGGGAAAGCGCTTCGCAGAGATTGCTGAGACTTGCATGCAATCTCATGCTCATGCGTTTTGGTGATGCTGCTTTCTGTCACTGGGGGCTTCGACTGAGGAGCCATACTTTGCACCAGAAGGGGGGTTCGGCCTGCTGCTTGCAGCCATGGTCGTGGGAGTGGTGTCTGCTGCGTTTCTGCTCTTCTTGGGCTTGTTGGCTGTCGTCAGCAACATCCCATTCCTGGCTGCTCTCGCACCCGCTCCAGGCTGGAGACCCTGTCGCCGCGCATGGGAGTCCCTTGCTTTGCAGATGCTGTGCAGGTGTGGCAGCCAAGCTGACTGAACTGGCGATTCCGCAGTACATAGGGGCCGCAGCTGCAGGGATCACGGCTTCCAGCGCTTTGTTCCTCAGTCGCCGAGAAGCGCTCGCTGATCGATGGAAGCAGTGGGGTCTGTTGGCGCTTTTGATCTTCCTGCTGCTCTGCGTCACGGGCATCAACGTTGTTGTCAGCTTCGTTTTCCGATCTCTGGACAATGTGCTCGTGGCCAAGAACGAGTCTGCCTTCTACACGCAGATGCAGCTCTTTGTTGTGGTTCTAGTGGTGGCTGTCCCCACGATTGCCTTCTACCGTTTCGTGCGCCTGAGCCTGGCAAATGCCTGGCGTCAAAACTTGAGCGTCATGATTCTGGATGAATACTTTGCTCACAGGGCGTACTATCTGCTAGACTCAAATTCTACTGGAACAAAGATAGATAATCCAGATCAGCGCATCTCAGAAGACATAGAGACTTGGCTGCACTTGGCAATCGGAGAGCTTTTGGCAATGAAGTTGACGCAGTGGGCAGTGGTTCGTGATGCAAGGATGCTTTCACGAGCGAGACGTTGGGCTTCCTGCTCGACATCCTCGGATCTTTTTCCAACCTCTTGTCTTTCGCAGCAATCCTTTGGACAACCTCGGAAGAGTTGACCTACGCGCTAGTCGTGTACGCCGTTCTTGGAACAGTGTGACTCGGACACGGACATATTTGCAGTGTGCAATTGGGCCATCCCGGCTTAGGGCGCGTAGGGCTTAGCGCTTTTCAGTGGAAGGATCGCGCTGTCTGTTGGCAGCACGCTTATCGGAATCATCTACAAGCAGCTGCAGCTACAAGCGGACTTCCGCTATTCTCTGGTCCACGTGCGGGACAATGCCGAAGCCATTGCCTTCTATCAGGGCGAACAGAAAGAGAGCGACGTTGTCAAGGAGCCTTAGCCCAGGCCTTGCAGCTTTGAGAGGACAGGGAGCTTCGATCTGGACTGTCTGTTCAGGACAAGCTGAGAGCAGCGATTCAGAACTACGACAAAGTCATCAAGTGGACGACAGGCTTGACCTTCTACCAGAAGGTGTTCTTCTATGTCACCGGGCCGCACGAATCTGTCCAGCGCGGGCTAAGGCACTCACCGGCGACGTGAGTGCGACACATGCCATGCTTCTTTGTGCCAGGTTGCCCGGCTGGTTCCCTACTTCGTCGTTGGTGGCCTCTACTTTGCTGGCAAGGTGGATTTCGGCACTTTCGGACAAGTGTCCTTTGCGTTCTCCATGGTCCTGAGAGTTTTGCCTGCAATTATATGATAATTCGGGGTACACGTCGAAGCATGCAAGCCTCCTTGTCTTCACGGACTGCAGCACGGATCCGTTTGAGAATGGGTATAGAGCTCTTGGCAAAGCGCAGAGCTCCTCTATAGCGTCCGTGTTTCGAGCTCAGGTTCGGTCACCATCATCGTGAACCGAATTCAGGAGAAGTAAAAGTGGCGCGCGGTTGTGAGACACCAGATATGCCGGAAGGAGTATGTTTCTACTGAGTGCCTGGCAGGACATCAGCCGGTTCTCTGCGGGTGTGAACCGGTTGGGCATGTTCTATGAGGCCATCACCTTGTCCCGCAAGGAGTTCCTGGAATCGTCTGGAGATGCAAGGACTTTGTTTTCTGGGGCCCCAGGCACTGGGAGGTTTGATGGGGGGTGGCAGAAAGCCATTCAGCCATCCAGCCGTCCAACACTCACCTCAACGCTGAAGCTTCCACAACTTGAAGTAACCGACTGAGCCACTTTTGCTGGAGTCTGTTCGGACTTTTCTGTAGGATTGCAACTCACACTCATGACGGCGACAAAGAGCAGATCTCTCTGGAGAAGGTGACCATTTGGACGCCAACTGGCAGAGACTTGCAATGAATTCAAGTTTCAACCAACCTAAGATGCCTGCCAACAGATGTCCGAACATGACGGTTGTCGGATCTGACTGCCAGGAACGCTGGTGAAAGACGTGAGCGTAACCCTAAGCATGCCAACTGCCTCTGGATCCATGGAGCTGCCCAGCCGGCTTTTGGTCGTTGGACTCTTGCCTGTTTGAGCACTCCTGTTCGTTAGTTTGGTGATGACCGGTGGTTCGATCTTATGCTGAAGCTTCATGGCTTTAGGGCTTTATGGCATGTCGATTCACCCCAGGCAGCAGCGGTGTCGGCAAAAGCAGCATTCTTCGGGCCATTGCCGGGCTCTGGACGCAAGGCTTCCTGCAAATGAAGAGAGTGAACGATTGGACTAGTTCCCACAAGTGATTCGTGCAGAGGCCAGGGTAGTATTCGTCGGCCTCAGATGTCCGACATGTTCTTCCTCCCCCAGAAGCCATATATGAGCCTTGGATGGCAGTTGAGATTGTGGTTCCTCTTTTCCGGACGTGTTGGAACATGTTGGAAGTCGCCTTTCCCAGGCCGCTGGGAGACTTGCGCTCGCAGCTGCTCTATCCTTCAGAGCCTGGAGAAGTCGCCACTCGCCCAGTGAGAAGGAAAGGCCCATGGATGCTTGCCTTCGAGTGAATGAGAAAGCAGATCCGGCTGCTCAGGTGGTGGAGGACGGGCTCCTCCGGGAGGTTCTGGGCCACTTGGACGAGCAAAAGCGTCTGCCTTTTTCCGTGTCCTCGTGATCGTTGCAAGATGCGTTTTTTACCTCCCCAAGGCAGATTCGGTCTTGGAGATCTGCCCGACAGGTTTGAGCAGGGCTTTGAAACTGCCCCTTGGACCAAGACATACGCTGTAGCAGTCTGGCAGCCTTTTGTCCAGCGGTTGCCTTCTGCACTGAACCGTTTCACCATGCGCAAAGGTGGTGGACTGGACTCGCGTGCTTTCGCTCGGGGAGCAGCAGCGACTGGCAGCAGCGCGCTGCCTCATTGCACGGCCGAGGCACTACATGTCTCACATGACTTTGCCGCAGTCCGCTGCAAGAATCCCCTCCTATGAGGATGGTGGTCTTAGACGAAGCGACTTCTGCACTCCCGGTTCCAGACGAGAGAAACCTCTACAAGTCTCTGGAAGACCGCGGCGTAGGCGGGGATCGGGTCTTCCGGCTTCTTTTGCCGAAGGCGGCCACAAGACACCCCACGTTCCTGCAGGATATGTGTCAGTGGGTCACAGACCGAGCCTGGTTGAGTATCATGACCTGATTCTGGAGCCTTGGAGAAGTGGAGAGGTACCCCAGCAACCTGATTCGTATCATAAATCAGGATAGGTCAGCATGGCCCAAATTTTCGTGCCATTCCTAGCCGAGGAGCTGCGTGGTGAAGGTCAGTGGCGGATCTTGAGTCCCAAAGAGTACGAGGATCGATTGACTGCAGATTGCAAGCCCTGGATTCTTCGTTGATGTGACAGCCAAGAGATAGAACTGCCAAGCTGGACAAGCAAAGCTCCCTTACCGACCGGCATCAACCTCAGCCCTTCAGTACTTGCCTCCTGACGGGTGAGTGTGGCACTGGCCTTCCTAGGTTTGTATATCGCCCTTGCATGTCATTTCTCTGGGTTGCCAGACTAGCATTTTCTGTTCCTAGATTTCCGAGTTCATGCCATAGATGCATGTTCGCCTGAAGTCCACAGGACTCGGTGAACTTGGTGCCTTGGTCGCAGCGAGGTTCGGTGGTCCCCTGCCCCTGAACTTCTTAGCTGGCCTTTGAGGCTTCCCGGGCTCCCATCATGGCGCAAGGATGAAGCCTTTCTGTACAAAGACAGGACATGCAGCCCAAAGGCAGGCGAGCGTGGTCCCTTGAGAAGCCGTGAGGTTGCGGCGCATTGCTGCTATCTCCGGTGCTCTTGTTTGCTCACCCCCACCTTTTCATCCGGAGGTTTGTCAGAGCCGAGCTCGCGATAAACCCGCATTTTTCTGAGTCCATGGACTTGCTTCTGCGGCTTTGGCCTGCACCAGAGAAATCTTGCATCCCCAAGCTTGGTGGGACTGGTCGGGCCTGGTGATGAGCTGGCTTGGGCGATGCTCCAGCACCGAAAGCTGCAGCACAGGCTCACGAATATCCGAAATGGTCGGGAACCCTTGATTGCCAGGCGCGATCATGCTGCGCCTTAGACTCCCTTACCTTTCAATCCACTTTTGCATCAGTACCTGTGCAGGAATGCATGACGGAGACTTGCTCGCATCTTGCGATATGCAGGGCCGTCATGACTTGCCGTCCCTGCAGTTCCATGATGTTTGCTGAGGAGTACAAATTTGTGATTTTCGATGCCCGAGATGATCGAGCGGTTTGGGAAGATGGTCTCAGCCCTGGACTTGGGGCTTCAAGACAGCCTTTACAAAGACTGCTCCGAGGTGCGAATCGTTTCTTTGGTTTCAACTCTAACGGTGAGATCTACACGTCTACGGGACCGGCTGAGCCAAAGCCTCGAAGAGTCTCAAACCCTCAGCTCGGCTTTTTTTGTTAAGCAGAGCTTGAGAGCTGGGGTCGACAAGGCTGCACACGCCCCGGTTTGGGGTCGTCGACGGCACCGGCCCACGGTGCGAAGCTCAGCGAGTTTATCGCATACCGCGCACCGTGTCGTTCGGGCGCCGCCCTCGTGGATTGTAGGTTTTGGATATCGAGGATTGCAAGTGGAAGGAGCAGGGAGACGAGTTTTTCTGATGATGATGCGGCCGAGTATGCCGCAGCCCCAGACCCCACACTTGCGAACACAGCGCCGCATCGCCTTGTTTGCGCCGCCTTGAGCACAGGCAGTGCCAGTTCCCGTGACGCCCAAAGTCAAGGCGGGAAATGCCTCCGGCGGCCGGAGACTAAGGCTGAGCTGCCCAGAGGAAGCTGAGCATGGACCCAGTCCCAAGGTTTCGACGATGAGCTGCATTTTGATGTGGTCTGGACCTAAGCATGGAGAAGGTCCTCGACGCCACTCTCCATCCTGTGAGGTTTGCGGCATAACTGGAGTCGGAGATGTGGTGGTTGCAGTAGGTTCCTGCGATGAGCCTCTTAGCTGCACCGTGCGTGGAGAGACAGTTCACCGACGGCGGGCGGGTTCAGTTTTCCGTGCTTTGTGTTGCGCAAGGCTAGGGAGCTGGGACGTCTTCAAGGGCCACCCCGGCTCCGTTCCATTCCATGGCCTCAAAGGGTTTTTGTCACGTCATGTCATGTTCCGTCCGTTCTCGTGCGCCAGGTGTGAAGCTGTGTACTTCGGGAGAGGTGTCAGGAGCCGAGAGCAAGCAAAGCTCGCGAAGCGGCCCCACTTCACGCGTTCCTTTTGTCCTTTTTCCTAGGTTTCCGAGATGGATGGGGATGGTGCACATGAAGAGCTGTGACGTTAGCAGGAACCTGAGTTGACGCTTTCGTCTTCACAGGCTTGGAGGGAAGGGTCAGGTGGAGCAGAGGAGAGATTCGAGGCACCATCCAGTTCAAGTTGGCGATCATCAAGGGAAATTCGGCCGCCAGTACCTCAAGAGACTTCCGAGTGAAGTGAACAGCCGTGCTTGGTGCTGCTTATGTCACTTATGTCGCCTTCTGCAGGAGTGGGAGAGCTCAGACAACCGTCAGCTTCGCTGGACCCCCGGCACAGGGCCGTACCGAAGTTATAGCACATCTCATTAAGTTAGCAGCTAGGCCGCAGCTAATGAGCACAAAGACTAAGGGGTCTAAGGTAGAATCGCCGTAAAGCCGGCCGGCACTCATGATTCAGGTTCAGCGGTCAAGGCTAGGAGAGTTGGGCACTACTCTCGAACTTCGATCATGCAGGTATGCCGAACTAGTCATGTAACGTGAAACGACCTGAAACCCCTTGCAAAGGATTATGTGATGTTGAGTTCGCGGCAGTCCTACAGGCTGATCTAGATCCGCGCACATGTGGCGATGTTGCGTTGGGTGCAATGCGAGCTCGAGTACTCATAGACTCATAAATACAGCTTTAATCGACAAGTTACTCGGTTCTATCTCCGCACTAGTAGTGAAGTTAAGTTTCTTCTCAGATCCACACACTCTGTGTCGGGTCTATCTCTCCTGGGTTTTGGAAAAGATCACTAAACTTTGGCAGAAGTCTTAAGCCTTGAGCCTCGGGTTTTATGTTAAGAAGCCAGACCAACATGAAACCGCATAAAGAGGAGGAATGGTGCTTCTGTGGGCGCTTGCTTAGCAGAGGGTGGAGGGCGGGGAGTTGACGCACCCCTGGCTCGAGGCCTTCCTGCCGGGGTGGGAGAGGGCCCTTGGCAGGCGAGGAAAGCGAGAGCGAAGAGCGAAGCTGCCGAAGCCAAGCTTCTGAAAGCTGCTCCGGCGGCTAGTTTCCTCTGACCTTGGCAGGCCCTCTGTGAGTGGAACAACAGCCACTGCCAAGTGCAGCCACTCAGGCCGACCCATTGAGTTGAGAGTAGGGCCCTGTGGGGATCTGGAGTTGAGATTCGTCCTTGCCGGCAGGTGAGTGGTATCCGTGCCGACTCTTGAAATGTCTCTCGCTGGCTCAGTGTATAGGCCTTCATAAGATCTTAAGGCACCATACAAATCATCATCGTCGCATCTATGTCAACGAGGTAGCGTAGGTTCGGATAAGAAATAGGCAGCGACGGTGCTGTGCCTCTCGCCATGGAAGAAGACTTGAGGATGGAGGCTGTCATGTCAGATGACCTCTGGGATGTGCCCAGAATCCAATCCATCACCAGTTTTTCCTCTTGTTATGCAATGTAAGACTCAAACTGAAAGAAAGATAATTGAGACAACTCTTTGTACGGGCGCTCGCCAGACTGTCTGAAGGCAGCGATATTCGATGCGCCAACAGGCTGGGCTCGTGCCGCCACGGAGCCCGCTCCGGGTCCTGCGCAGCCTCTGGCAGACCTCAAACCCAAGCAGCAGAAGGCCCGAAATTCGCCAGGGGCTGATCCTATTGCTTTCGGCGCTGCAAGACACGTAGTTGCGAGCGATAAGAAGCTACGCTGAGAAGCAGAGCCCTAGAGAGGCACCGTAGGTGCTAGAGTGTTCGGGGAAAGGGGGGTGGGGTGAGTGCTACATGGAAGATCCCATCACCCTTCATATAGGTGACATATCTCATCTCTCTCGTGAACACGATCTGTAGGATAGACTCGGAGAGACGACATTTTTTGCCCTGCAGGGCTTGCAGTGGCGGCGTCAAATGGCCAACAAGCTCGTGCTTGAACACACCAGGTCGAAGCTGGAAATGGAGCGACAAGAGATGGTGTTGAATGCCTCTCTCAGGCACGCCCGCAGGGACCCGCAGGGGTAGCTATGACTCCTCCATTGCTATGTAGCAGCCGCACGTGCAAAAACGCCAGAGTGTCCTTCCGGCTTTGATAAGCCAACCGACTAGATAGTCCAAGCGAGCTGTTGCCCTGTCCACCAGAGAGTTTGGGCGATTCGAAGCCAACGTGATACATCAGACTGCACACCTGCATCCAGGGACCTCTACGATGTCCAGGAATCGGTCGGGCAAGGGTGCATGGGCGTCGTGCACAAAGGCAAGCGGAAATCGGACGGAAAGGAAGTGGCGTTGAAGATGCTGCGAGTGGATGACGAGGCGCAGTCTTGACATGCCATGTTGTGCTCTTGGCCTCTTGTGGGATCACATGCTTTTGAGGAAATGGGGCAGATTGTCAAAAGAGAGTACGACACCTTGACCTCACTCAATCACCCGTATATCATCAAGGCGATCGACTACCTCTCTGAGCGTGGACAAGCGATCATTGTCCTGGAGTATTTCCATGGCGAGACATTGACTAGGGCAGTTCGAACATCTAGTGTAAAGACCGGACTTCTCACGGAAGGAAGAGCACGTCGTATCTTCCAGATGCTGGTTAGCGCCGTTGAGTACCTTCATGCTCGACATATCATCCACAGGGACATCAAGGGCGACAATGTGTTCCTTGAAGGAAAACGGTTCAATAGCTGTCTTATCGCTCGAAAATGGTTTGGGTTCTCACATGCTTGCTTTTTCAGTACGGCACTGAGGCTGGTAAGTGCGAACTTCGATGACCTGCGACTGATTGACTTCAATGTGGCAGGAAGGCTGCTTGAAGGGGACTCACTCACAGTCACCGGGACTCAGGAGTATTGGCCACCAGAACTCTTCCGAGACGTGACGGCCCGGAGTATTTGGGAAAGTTCCAGTGTGGCAGGAAAAGCTGGCGACATTTGGTCGGCAGGACTTTGCCTGCACCTCCTCATCACTGGCCAGCTCCCAAAACGGGCTGCAGACTTCAAAAACGCGGAGGCCTTCAAGGAGGCCGTCGCTACGAAGCCAGTCACCTGCCAGGATGCCAGCTGGAAAGAGATTTCAATACCTGGAAGAGACGTCCTCCAGCGATGCATGCAGATGGAGCCACAGCTGCGCCCCACAGCCGAGGTGCCTTGTACTGGCCTTTTAGAGCAGTCCGTTCCTTCCTTCATGCATTTATACGCCTGCTCGACTTGCGCCCTCGCGCCGGGTCTCCGAGGATCTTTTGGGAGAGCGATGGTTTCAAGAAGGCTTGGGCGTCGGCGGGTAGGCCCTGCGGCAGGCGCCTTATCTCCGGATTCGGTAGCCCGATTGCGAGGAGCCCCCATGCGCCTTACACGTTGGAGCGACGCCCCGAGCCGAGGTGCAACCTGCCTTTATGAAAGCCCACGTCTGGCATCCTGAACAGCACTCGCCTTGCTAAGCCAAGGGGAGCCCGAGTTAATCTAGTTTGAAGGTCCAAGTCCGTCCCGGTATATTTCAAAATAATTCTGCGCCACGGCTCGCTGCCGGAATTTTCCAGGTTCTGCAAAGTAGGGCACGATTGGCGCATGATGGCTATAAGAGTGATTTATCCTTCCTTTATCCTCGTCTTCCAGAATGGAGAAGAGGGTTTCAAGTTGAGAGCTGTGGGAGGCCCGTCGACAAGTAGCCACGGGCACTCCTTGCACAGCTTTACGTCAGTTTCTTGCATGGATTTGCATTTCAACTTCTGCCTGAGTGATCCTCAACATCCCATCCTGAACGAGATCGGTAAACCTGATTAGCCAGTTGCGCTCTTGGCCTAGTGCAATTGCCGCACGTTTTTTGTGGATGCAAGATGGATCAATGACCAGGGGACTAGAGTACTGCAGCAGCACGTCCCTTCCGATCGAGAGCACAGCTTCTTCCAGTGCCCAAAGGGCAGATTCTGGACAGTTTGGTTTAGACCACGCTCTCGTTAAAACAGGACCCCCAAATCCCCTAAGCAATTGCGCTCCCCGCTCCCTGCGGCTAAGCACGAGCCAGGACCAGCGATCGCCAGGCCATGGAAGCTGCAGGCGGGCACTTACATAGCTGGCGCGTTGCCAGGTCGAAGTAATTAGAGCGGCAATCGCATCAACGTAGGGAATTCCATGTACCGATCAGTCGAGGCAAGAAGACCATGGACGGCAAGGATGGCAAGGAAGATGCAGCCCTGGTGAGGGCCGCCTTGTCGTGCTTGCCTCGAAGTGGGCAGAAACAGTCGCAGATTGAGAAACTCAGGGTTCATCCCATGCTGAGGCCCACAGCAAGTGGTGCCGACACTTCTGCGACCAGTGCAACAAGTGCAACAAGCGCAACCACAGCAACTTCATACCCGAGAATGACTGCACCACCGCAGATTCTCGGGCAGGATCCGGCCTTGGAAGACATGCGCTTAAGTGCAAGGGCAGGGAATGAATGATTCTCGGCACTGAGGCCACAGAACACCTGATGAAGAAGCAGCCCCACACTACGACGGCCGCTTTTGGCGATGCCCCACGGCTGGAGCCCTGGCTGTGCTCAGATGGTGAGTCAGTTCTTTGGCCTTTTGGTTGACGCAGGCGAAGTACGTCTTTGAGCCTCTTGGGGGTGGACCGGCCGCTCCTGGCGGAGCAGTGGGCGTGCGCAGCTTAGCCCAGCACAGTGTCCAGCAACAAACAACAACGACACTCCAGTAACTCTAGCAGTCGAAGTCGTGGCAGTCGCAGCAATAGCAGTTTTGACATTTTCTTGCCATTTCGCTGTGCCTGCTCTCCATGAGGCGCAGGAAGGACTCTGGCCCTCCTCCAAAGGAGCCGGGGACACAGCTTCCTTAGTTTCAAAATGCCTCAAATGCCGCGGACAGACGGAAAACCTGTGCGCACTCGAGCGAGTCTGGGCCGGAAGTGCTTCGAATCAATTCTTCTGGAAGCAAATGCCATGCGTTGAAGGAACTCAAAGGCATAGCAATTTTTCCGGGTTGAGCAAGCCTTACCTGGAAGCTGAGTTTGAGGCAGTGCCTGAATTTCAAGATGAAGAACTTGGCCGAGAACGATGCCAAGAAGATGTCTGTGGAGGTCGTTTTCCAGGCTGGGCGAACTCAGCAAGATTCGTGGCCCTGTCTCACACCAGATGGGTACCGTGATGGGAACCCCAAAGCCCCCCCGAACAAGAAACGCCATAAACCGGAAGCCTTCAATCCAGCTCCGAAGCGACCTAGCCCTGGGAAGGAGAAAAGCCAAAGACCGGCCATGGCCCTCGAGCTGGCAAGCTACGACAAGGAGGAGCAGCAAGCTGGGCCCTCACTCTTTACTTGCACCTCCTTACAGTTGTCGATCACCAGATGCAGAGGCAGCTTGGTCTCTTGCGGTCCCTTCTGCGGATTTGACCCCTGGCATCCATTTCTTCCACTTCCGTGTCAACGGGGTCGGGGAGCCCAGAGACGCGGAGAATCGCGGAGACGCTGAGAAGTGAGCCCACCCCACACGGAGCTTTTCTTCGGAGCGGAGAAGCGAGGTCTTCGTCGTTTCCTGCGAGCACATGCGGCTTGGTCGGTGGAATGCAATGCATGTGAGTGATCCAATTCGCCGGGCCCTCGCCAGGGACTTGCAAAAGCTTGGGCGGTCTCATTTTTGATAGCCCAGGTCGCTACTTGTTGGCCCGAGACAGCAAGGGTCAGCTTGAGACTCAAGAGTCACGCGCGACCACCCGCATGCACGTGGCATCGCACCAGCCCAGCTTGTGTGTGTGCTTATCAGGCTATCAGAGGATGCGCCGAAGGGCTCTCAGATTGAGTGGGTTTGATTCAACAGCTCTCAGTCTTGTCGCTAGCAAGTCGCTACTCCATCTAGACATCATGTCGAAGTCATTCTGCCAAGGATTGTCGAGAAGACACGCTCCAAGAAGATTGGTGACATGGCAAGCCCAGCATAAAGTCGAATTGATGCATCTTCATGTTGATTTCGATCCTCCTTAGGCAGGAGTTTAGCATGTGACGGAACACGGCAGGCCATGGATTCCTGTGTGGGCTCCGGGTCCACAGCAGACGTGGTTGGCCTGCAGGCCTGCAAGCCACTGCTAGTAGATGATCCCTTTCTTCTCTGACCTGTTCGAATAAGGAACTTGGTGGCCAAAACAACATCGCTCGCCCATACAGCGTGTGCTTGGAACTTAGCTTGAGGCTATTGCGGTCGCGCCTAAGAGGATCCCTGGAGCAGTCCCGAGTGAGGTGGGAATTTGGTTGGCAACGCAGATTCAGATGACGAGGCCGCTGGTCAGGACCGGAGCCGGAGCGCAGCCGGAGCGGAGAGATGCCGATTCGTGTTTTGTGTCCAGGACAGCGGCAACTCGTTCAGCCCTTTTGCAAAAGAGGTTTACGAAGGCGATGCAACTTCGCAAGTTGAGTGACACGTGCAGCTGAGACTTTACTGTGAAGCTCACCTCTCCTCGTAATAACGTCACAGAGAGCGACAGGTTTGTTTGACCGGGAGCTCATGCTCCGTTTGGATGGGGTCGTCCTGTGCTCAAGACTATGCGGAAAACTCCAAACAATACCTCCTGTGGTTTTGTGACTCAGGTCCTCCCAGAGGCTCCGTCGCCCCCCGCAGGGAAGGAACCGCTCGATGAAGGATCCTTGCACCACCGCCAGGAGTGACAGTCACATCCACGTGAACTCTGCAGGATCCGAACTGCGCTTGTGGGCCGGCGCGCACTTGATCAAGAAAGCTCACGGTGCTTGTGTGTGGCTGAGCTGCCGAGCTTGAGTCTTCTAGGAAGTCCACCGAAGCAAAGCAGCAAAGCGTCGAACCACGAGGTGAAGACGCCTATTTTGTTGATCCGCATGGCATGGGTGTGGCTGATGGAGTCGGCTGCATGGTCAAGCTCTCAGACTTTGCAATCCAAGGTCTTGCCTTTGAAAATTCTGATAAACCCCAGAGCTCGCGTTATGGTGACCCCTTCCTTGGTATTCGAGGGTCTTTCAGGGAGTGTTGCCGGAGAATGATTTCAATGTGATGGCTTGCCGCAGGTGCTGTCTCGTGTCGATGTTCGACTCGTATCGTTTGTGCACATGACCGATGCGACCGGACGACGCCTTTAGGCACAAGGGCTGCAACGTATCAGCGTATCAACAAAAGGGGGCATTTGTTCTGCAGTGTAGACATGTCTTTTCGAGCGCCTGTGTCACCGCCAAAACTCGTACTGATGCGAATGCGATCAGAATGAAAGGCTCCGCCGGTCTCAGTGAACAAGGTGGTTGAGCCAACCAAAGCGACAGTGTCTGAATTAACGGGACCGCAGAAAGAAGGAGCTCCCCTAGCAACGACCGTTTGGGACAGGCTTTCCCAAGTGCCTGTTGAACCAGAACCTTGTTCAGGAGCTCAACCATTCAGAAGCTCTTTCTCGATTTTGGGGGATCCGACAAGCCTCTCCATTTTTGGTGCATGTCGCTTGCAAGGTTGAAGGGGGTTTCTTGGCTGAGGTGCAATTTGCCAGCTACGGGATCAATGCTGCCCAGTATGCAGCAGAGTTGTGCCATCCTTGGACTTTCTCATGGATGCTGATGATGCTGATGCTGTGCACATCTGTGCATGTGCCAGTCGCCCCTCCGAGGATGGAATTTTCCAGCGCCGCTCTGAAGCTGAAGCCTCGAACGTCCACAGTTAGAGGTAACAGGCTGGTGTCCATATTCTATTGACGAGGGCTAGCTGCTGGCTGAGGCCCGAAGGCTTGGCGTCCGAAAGCAAGATTGGAACTTCTGGCTGTTTGACAAGTTGGGGAAATAGCGCTCGTGTCTGCTCGCTCTTCCCATTCAGCTCTGGAACGCACCAGGGGACGATGTTGCAGAGCGTGCTGCTACGGCGTTGGCGCACGGTGAGTCTCATGCGGCGGCCTGGAGCTCAAAGGTTCGCGAAGTTTTCAGACGCGGCTCTTGCACAAGGTTCTAAGCGGCAGTTTGGCATATGTTGTGCCTGCGTTGTGCCTGCATTGCGCCTAAGCTGCTGAGGCATACGGCGCCTCCACGGTTGCCGTGCTCTGCCAGCAAGGCGGCATTGATACTGATGTGTGCCATTGCCAGCCTCGACTTTGGCTGTAAGTCCGATCCAGGAAACCAGATTGGAGTCGCTAACCTTGGCGACTCGGGCCTGCGCCTCAAGATTACCAAGGACGGGACACTGCCTTCACAGGACATTCCCTCCAGAGCCGGGAGATGACTACTGTACGGAGAGAGTTGCCAAACGGCCATGTCATGAGGCTTTATGCTGCTGCGCAAGGGCCCTCACGGAATGAATGCCGTGGCCCCAGGTCGAATGACTGCCTCGCCCCTTGCTGCGTCTCAGTGATAGATCCTTTGTCATATTGCCGGCGCTAATCAACAATAGGAAGTCGTCGTGTCATGTTACCGTTGTCGCTGCAGCTGTTAGTGCTATGGCTGTTGATGGCCACGATGTTGATGATGGTGAGCACCTCAACATGACTCCGGCCTTTGTCATGTCGCTTTGTGAGCACTCTACCGGTCGAAGTGATCGGCCGTAGCCGCCGTCATCATGATAGTCGTAGTCGTAGTCGCCAGCAGCATGGCCGGATGGCGCATGGCCATGTTCATCGTACCAAATATATACCCCCAGATGTATCAATACTGGTAGCAATACTCATACAATGGTCTACCCCAAAGGGTCATCGTCTTCGTCACTACGTGCGTCTGCATTCTCATTTTCTTCTCTTGCTCGTCATCTCCGGGTCCTGATACTGCATTCTCGCTCTCCGAACGCCGTTGAACACTGCACTGCCTCCGAGATCATCATGAAGTCGGAGGAACAACAGCACAGCTGGTGCGCAGCCTGGGAGTGTAATAGCCGTGGACTGCAGACTGGCGCCTCATGTCCTTCGAGTCTCGGAAGCGAGGAATTGTCCGTATCAGCTCACTCGTCTGCCCAAGGCAGGAGCCCGTGGAGAAACACTCAGATTTCTGATTTCGGGCTTGCCTTGTTGAGAGCCAAGGCGTTGCTGAACCGCTTTCCGAAGCTGCAGCTGGACAAAGCTAGCGATTGCAGGGGGCCTTGGGATGATGCACGGGTTGTTCGCAACCAGTATTGCTTGACATGCACCGAAGCATAAGAGAACGAGCAAATCAGGTGAGCGCTACACAGTCGAAATCAAGGAGGTGCCCACAGCATGTGCCCTGCCTTTTTCAGTGCCCAACCTGGTGCTGGTGCACAGGGCGACCTTGTGCTCATGTTCTCGGATGGGCTCCGTGACAACCTCCATGACCGGGAGGCTCAATGGTTCGCACAGTGAAGCCACACACAGACACATCTGCCTCCGTGCACAGGTGCTCAGCATCGTAGATCGAGCGCTGCCGCCAGCTCAGGCCGCCTTGGCCTTGGACCACATAGCTTCCCAGTCTCCTTTTGGAATTTGGAGCTTACGGAGAAAGTTGCGCCGTTCTGTCACCGCCCAGGACATGCTGGGGCTGCTGGACCGTTGCACGCAGCAGCCTTGAGTCTTGAAATGTCTTGATCCTTATGGGTTCCGAGAAAAAGGGTACCGTAGACGCCCACTTGAGGCCTCCGGAGACCATCGCCAAAGCACTGGCCCTGGCCGCCCAAGAAAGGTCCATGGACCCGACAGCCAAGGCCTGGCCCTAAGGGCCCAAAGCAGCGGCCATGGGTGGTACGCGTATCTGCAATGAGGTGCCCTTCGTGGAATACTCGAAGCGACATGGTTTCGAATGCCTGGGTGGGCCAGGGCCCGAGTCACCGAGAGGGAGGCTGAAATAGCGGCTGCCTCATGCCCCGTCCAAGGAAGCAGGACGACATCACTGTGGTGGCCTCCTGGGCCGGACCCTCAAGCTCAAAACGCTCCCTGTGAGCCTCTGTGAGCCCTTCGGACTTTCAACCTGCGAGGTAGTCGCAGATGAGCCGTGAGCTCGGCAATGCGCACTCTTGATTCTTGATCACTGTCGTCCTGGCCCTTCGTTATGTGAAGTAGAGGGAGCAAAATTGGCACCAAGGTCAAAGCTCAGTGGGACTCTCGGATTTGGTGCAGAGCTCCATTGCCCCGCTTGTTGGTCACTCTTCCTGTTGGTTGCAGGTCCCGACACGGCTGACGTGGAGGCCATCGTGCAGGACATGCACACAGCAGCTGCAGCAGCTGCAGCAGCGACTCAGAAGAAGATGGTCGGCTTCCGAGACCAAGACTTTGGAATCCTGGGACAATTGAGCTGTACGTGCATGTCTTGAACTGCTGCTGTGCTTAGTCGCGAAAGAACTCCGGCCGCATCCACTCCGACAGAGCCTGAGAGCTGCCATTGTAAGGGGCGAGGATCACAAGGTAGCCACGCTTCAAAGATCTTGGAAAGCCGAGGGTGCCAAAAAGGGCGGCTTTGAAGCCAGGCACATGCGGATACATGCTGGTTCTTGGGACGGGCAGACGGGCTATTCTACATCGGCCCGCAACTGCACAGGACACGCGCTGGGGATTCAGTCTTGGTGGCAGCCTTGGCACTCTTTCCGGTGACTGTAGTATGTGGACTGAACATCGAGGCTGGCGGCAACAGCAAGAAGGAGTTGGCCACCGAGACCCGCTATATACCGTAGTATCGAGTCATGAAGAGCAGCGAGATGCAGCGACAGCTCAGGCTCCGTGGGCACAGGAGGACAGAATTCCGCCCAATGCAGCGCTGCCACGCTTGGCTTAGTGCGGAGAGATCGCTTGGAGCACAGTGCACTCTTTCGCGCCAGGAGCTCCTCAAAAGCCGTGTGAAGGCGCGGCCAAAAAAAATATTTTTGAAGGGCAGGGCCCGCAAAGGCAGTGCAGCCGGCTGTGTGCAGCCGCAGTGCCGCAGCGTGCACATGAACCAGGCGCCTACTGTTCGCTACAGAGGCCCTGATGGTTCCCGCGGGCCCTGCAGGAGCTTCAACTTCGCTCCTCAGACTCTTAACACACTGGTACGGAAGACATCGGCGCGCATTGTGATCGTATCGACGTGTTCAACCCACACATTCACTTAAGGTAGATATGCCCCTTCTAATGTGTGTCCAATTCATGTATGACGGGGTACGCTTGGGCAGCCTCACAGTGTTTCTGTCTGTGGTTCAGCCGTTTAGCCTTGTAATGAAGAGCCCAAGATTGAGATTTTCCTGGGAGCTGTTGAGCTGCACCCTATTATGGGCCCGGGCCCGAAGACCAGGGAGGAATGGATGTGTTCTGGAGGCTTTACACTGGGGCCGTCTTTGCGGGTGAATGATCGGGTGCAGGTAGGACGCTCCCAAATTCGAAGCACCGCCTTGGGGCGCTGCTGGGACTCGCCGGCCTTGCGCGATTGCACGGGTCGTTCAGGAATCTTGGCGTGTCTGGAGTCTGTGTGTTGTTTGAAGCTTTCCATTCTGAGGCATGGTCGGTTCTAATTCGGATTCCGTAAAGGTATCCAGACGGGAAGGACCAGTTTGGCCATTCCAAGTCTGCAAGGGGCACTCGGAACAGCATAACTGCATATAACTGCCCAGAAAGCCGATCTGCTACCACCAGAGATCGGAGACTCTGCAAACCTATCCTGCAGAATGCCACAGCCGTTCCCTGTGTCGTCGCTGTTTGATGACAACTTGGTTTAACACTTTACCGCTACTTCTCAATGGCATGGTTTGAGGCTGCAGCCAGAGCCCTGTCGGTTTCATCCAATTGTCACCCCGTGCAACTTCCAAGCTGTCATAGTTCATTGAGGTTTATGGGGTTTTGTGGCATATGGTGGAATTGGCACATGAGCCATGGGACGGGGTTCTGCGGCCTTGATGCACATGCAATCTCATGAACTTTCTCGATTGAATCTGGACTGATGCGCGAAATTTCAGAGAAAAAGCTTGGGCTGCAGCCTTTGGCATCTCATACATATCTAAGTGCGTTGCGTGTTTGACAAAGCAGTTGGGCCGCCGCCGGCCCTTCTCGGAGAGACAGACGCATTCTCAATGCCCGAGGCCATGGAAGTGACAGGCCGGCAACCCAAGTGACCCCTATGCGCCCTGGCAGAAATCAAGCATGACAGATGCTGGAGTACTTACAAAATGTTCTGTGTCTTAGCAGTCTTAGCAGTTTAGCTTCTTCACGTACCAGTATGGAATGAATTTCAAAAGGGGCAGGTGCTGCGATGCGCACAGTCTTCCAATATCATGACGGGCCGCATGCTCCAGAGGAGGCGGACTATTCTGGCAGCCTGGATGAGGCCCGAAACAAGTGTGTCGAGGACTATCGCTGTGAGGTGGTGTGCTACCACCAGAAGACAGGAAAGACGCAGCTGTACCAGAACTTCAGCTTGGCGTTGAAGGGGCTGGGCGGATCCCAAAAAGCCTGGAAGGATGTGCTTCAGAAAGCGCCAGCCTGGTACGACAAGGACTGGACATGTCTTCAAGCCTCGCCCAGCTGTCGACGCAAAGCTGCGAAAACAGCTCGGAAGAAGGAGGAAGCTGGGCTGAAGGATACGTTGGAGGGTCTCGGCGAACTCCGTTTACTGCAGCAAAGCCTGCACCAGCCATCTCCACCAGCCTTTCAGACTCAAGGCGCCCTTAGCCACGACGCTGCCAACTTTCTGGGGTTGTTGAAGTTCCCGATGGGCAAACAGGCACAGGAGCTTCGGGAGAAGTGCACAGACATTGCCTCGGAGGTGGCCCGAGCACGCGAGGTTCCCCAGCTGGAGCCCTTTTGCCAGAGGAAGGTTTGGGTTCATCGGCCCATCAAGGACTCTATGGGTCACTGGCAAGAGTGCTGCCAAGACCACGAGGGCTTCAAATGCAAGGACCGCTTCGTCATTCCCTTGGATCATTGCAACAACTGCCAAGGAGTTTGCTTGGAGAAGGGCCAGGAGCCTGGGCCCGTGCAGCCTGCTGGGGATGAGGGCGAGTGCCTCGAGCTGGGAGCACCCGGAAGTTGGAGCTCCGGATCTGGAGAAGTCGTGGAGTTGATGTCGGCTCGAGCCCCCACTCCTACAGCGCAGCTTCTCCTGGAGTGTTTGGGGAGGCCAGCCGTTCGACCGAGTCGACGGCGAAGAAGGGCCTTCCTCTGAGGCGGAAAAAGACTTCGGTGGTCGTTTCTGTCAAGCAAAAGCCTAGCAGGGTAGAGGTCGATGCTGTCACCGCCTGCCCTCCGAGCCGTCCAGCCTCCGCTTCCGCTGAGCCATGATGCACCGTCAAAGCAGCCTGAGACATGAACAAGCAACAGAGTAGCCAAAATCCCTAGAGCTAGAGCTTCCAGTCACCTGGCCCAGCAATGGACTTCACAGGCTTTGGGGACTTGTTTTTTTTGAATCTTGCCAGCTTCGGCTGCTCAGGCAGTGGGGTTCCTGTGGCCAGGGCAAGGGTGCAACTGGCTGCAGGAGACCAAGGGACATGCCCGACTGTCCGGATGTTGCTGTTGCTTTCGTGTGCGTCGCTGAGAGGACGCGTTCCCGCCAGCATTCGCAAGCTTGACGTCTGATCCTCGTTGACAACTTTCTCTGTCTTGGCGCACGCGCGTGTATCTGTCTGTGTGTGTGTGTGTGTGCGCGTGCTGCTGAGTTTGACAGCTGAGGCCTCATCTAAATGGCTGGTCACCGCTGGACAGCTCTGCTCTCAGATACGCAGAGCGGGGCAGAGCATAGCTCGGCAGCTGAAGGGCACGGTTTGCCGATGCGCTGCCTGTGGCGTCTTTCAATCTCAGGACAGCGGCTGTGGTCATCCGCCATGATATCTTGAGCTTGGCTCCGAGCTGCTCTACTCGGATGCCGGCTTGCCATGCGTGTTCGAGTCCCCTATTCATTCATGATGCGTTTTGGCGAATGCAGGTCCATACATCGTCCTAGGTGGCATCGCGGCGTCACTTTTCACTGCAAAGATCAAGTATGGTGCCCAGCTGCAGGGCTTGCACAGCCATCACGCGTAGTGATGCAGTGCCCGGCTCACAACATGCGCATCATGCGATGATGTTCCTTTAGGCATCTTTGAGGGCGCCATGCGACCTCAGCCACCGGCCTTCATGACTGGGACATACTGGGGTCTTCAAGATCTCCTTGCGCAAGGACCACGAGGAGATTTTTGGGCATGCGAAACATGTGTCGAGCTCGCCAAAAGCAGGGGGGACATCAAATAAGTCCGAGGCCAGCAGTTCTACGACTCTACAGCTCATCAAGAAGCAGCTGCAAGGATTGAAACGCGAGGCCACATGCGAGGCCCCCGGAGCGCTCAGAGGCACGGGAGAAGCAGGCGGAGCTCCAGTGGGGTCCCTCATATCAGCTCCAGGAACCATGGCCCCGTGCAACGCTGCAAGATGTCTATGACAAGGCATCCTCGTTAACAGACAGCGCAGAAGCAGCCAGGTTCCGAAGCAGCCCGTACAAGAGTGGGCGACCGTGCACTGGGCGAGGCGGCATGGATAATTCCTAAGGGCTCTTCCGCGCTTTGGCGTGGTCGAGGCAAGAGGCGCGGCAGAGGGGCTTTCCCTCCGAAGGGAAGGAGACTCCGGGGGTGAGTCATCTCCACATCGAGATCAGAGGTACTTTCTGGTAACCGGGAGGGAGAGGAAGCAACGCGGAAAAATCGGAGGCGGAACCGTGATTCGACATGGAAGCTTTCCGGCTTTCTACCGACCAGCAAGTTTCTTAACCCCCGGCGACCCTTCAGAGAAGAAGATTACCATGGGAAGTCTCGAAAAGGTCGGGCATGGTGAGACGGAACTCCTCAGATTGACTCGAGCCGATGATGATGAGTCTCCGGTTCCCAACCTCACGTGGGTCATCGCCAACGTGATGTTGGGGAGCGGAGACTCATCATCATGGCCTCAGATTGACTCAAGGGTACGTTGGCCAATGTGCCGAAAGCGCATTCATGTCGCTGGCAAGCATTCAAAGAGCATCGAGGTGCGCAGGTGACGCGGACGAAGAATTTCAGTTGGAAAACTGATGGAAATCCAGCTTTGGTTGCGACACTGTTGCTCAACACAGCTACATGTGACTTGCTGCTTGCGGAAGTGGAACTGCCTCCCTCCCCTCCCCCCCCCCTTAGGCGCATCGTCAATCAGCGGAGACCACCAGGATCTCCACTGACAGATCCCGGGATGCCCTCTTCCCATGCGCTGGTGGTTTGCTCAGAGACGGAAGCTACGATTTCATGCTTCTGCTTTGGAGCCAATCTTCAGGTCGCGACATTTATGTCGGTGGCATGGGCCACTCAAGTCCAGCCAGTGTCTTACTGTCTTTGTTTGCCCCCTGGTTCCACATCAGCATGGACCTACGGGGTCTTGGATTGTAGGAAGCCGATGTGTGATCAACTGCTCTCTTTAACAACCGTGGCAGCCTGCCATTCGTTAAAGGCTTTTCTGGCTTGTGCCACTGTGGCCCGTACGTGCCCTCATGTCCCACCCAAGGTCAGGCAGGACTTCAGCGCTGCTGCTGGCTTCTGCAATCTTGATTAGTGCGGGGCACCAATTGCCAGGCGGTTGCGCATCAGATTCCCCCATAAAGCAACGATTTCGGTCAGGTGTTGCGTGTCATTTGCGGGCACCACACTTGGGCAAAGCTGGCTACGTTTGGGCTGATGTTTGCTTTGGAGTGTTGAAATGAGCTGCTGCAAAGGCATGCGACGAGCCCTGTCAGGGTAGTTGTCCAAGCTGGGAGAGGGAGCAGCAGAGACCAGAGTCACCAGACCTACAGCATGTGCACACGCCATGCGTTCAGACGATGTTCTCGAGACTCCAAGCGCTAAGTACTGCCAGGCTCAGGTTGGCGTGGGTGCGACGGCGGGGACGCTGCTGTCCGTCGCCTGGATGCTGCTTGGCCAGGAACCAACATCGACCCACGAGGGGAAGACAGTCCCATGTTCCGCTAGTGCTGCGTTTCAGTCTCGGTTTTGGATCGCTCATGCTGCTGATGTGGCGCAGGACATCATCAGAAGCCCCACGAGTTTAGAAACGAAGGCCCTCCGAGATGTCCTTCAGCTGGGATCGGGCAATAGTAGCAAGAATATTGGCTGGTCATCTCAGGTAGTGTATGCACTCTACATCATCTTCAGTGATCGGGCCCTGGTGTGTCTCCGGGCCATGGCCCGAGCTAGCTGGTTGAGCTGAAGTTGAGCTGAGGCCCTCTTCCTTGCGAAGCAGTTTCGCAAGGGCCGTTCTCGCAAGAAGGAGGAAGCCATGTCGCCCAGTATGTCCAGCTGAATCTGCAGGAAGTGGGAGGGAACCGAGGGGCGGTGATGCAACACCCAGCCTGCATGCTGAGTTTTATCAGAGGTTCGGCTAGGAGGAAAGGTGCTGTGAGATGGGTTCGTGTAAGTGGCCTAGTGTGCAAACTACTTCTGGCAGTCTTCGTGGTGGTGGTGGTCGTGGTAATGGTCGTCGTCGTCGCAGCATTGGAGGTAGCAGCAGGAATAGCACTTGTAAATCGTAGTGGCAGTCGCAGTGGCAGTAATACAAGTAGCAGCAGTAGTAGCAGCAGTAGCAGCAGCAGGAGCGGGAGCAGGAGCAGGAGGAGGAGGAGGAGGAGGAGGAGCAGCAGCAGCAGCAGCCGCAGCAGCAACACGGCAGTAGAAGTAGAAATAGCAGCAGAAACGGAAGCAGAAGTGGAAGCAGAACCAGAAGTAGTCTTAGTAGTAGTAGTCGTCGTCGCCGCTGCTGTCTCGTCGTTCTAAAACTAACTGGAGTAGGGGAGCAGGAGTAGTAGCAGCAGCAGCGGCAGCAGAAGGAGGAGGAGTAGTAGTAGTAGTAGTAGTAGCAGTAGTAGCAGTAGCAGTAGCAGTAGCAGTGGCAGTAGCAGTGGCAGTAGCAGTAGGAGCAGTAGCAGTAGGAGCAGTAGTAGTAGTAGTAGTAGTAGTAGTAGTAGTATTAGTAGTAGTAGTAGCAGTAGCAGCAGCAGCAGCTGCAGCAGCTGCAGCAGCTGCAGCAGCAGCAGCAGCAGCAGCAGCAGCAGCACAAGCAGCAGCGGTAGCGTTAGCCGTAGCAGTAGAATAGCAGCGGCAGTGGCAGTGGCAGGGAGTAGCAGTAGCAGTGGCGGTGGGTAAGAGCAGCAGTAGTCGTTGTCATAGTCGTTGTCGTGTTATCAATGGTTCTGGTCCTATTATTGTTCCTACGTGCGGTGTGCTTATTGTTATTCCTTATTCCTTTGTTCGTATTCTATTTCTTATGCTTAGTCATATTCCTTATTCTTCCAATAGAGTACTTGTCACTTCTATCTTATATCACTTATTGCAGATTCTTAATTTTGCACTCAGTCCTATTCTTGTTCACATTCCTATTCGTATCATCTTGTTTTTTTTTTTATTGCTGTTGTCATCTTGGTAGTATGAGCAGGAGCACAAGTAGCAGTTAGCAGGATGGCAGCAGCAGCAGAGGTGGTGGCAGTTGTCGCTGCGGTAGCAGAGGCGGTGGTTGTCGTCAGTGTGCTGTGGTTCTAGCTATGGTGGTGGTGGTGGTGGTGGTGGTGACGGGGGTTGTGGTGTACGGCCTCCGTCACTGCTGTTGCTCCCGCTTCTGAACTTGCTTTCGTTAGTTCGTTGTTGCTGCTGCGGAAGCTGGTGCTGCACCAGCTTCTCAGCCGGACACGGAGTATAAGAAGCACGAATTCGCAACAACTGCAGAATGAGTCGGAAGACTTCTTAGCAGCAGCAAGAAGAGAATCTGCAGCAGGAAGAGGAGCTAGAGTGGCAAGAAGCAGCACTATCCTGATTCCGGTGTGGTAACCCGGTACGTTGCGAAATTGGTCGCTGATGCTTGTGCTCTGAAGAGTCGAGCAACTTGCGGTGGAGGACGCTTACCAACTCCAGCCAGCTCAGAGTGTGAGATGAGCGGAAACCGGACGAGACGAAGACTTCTTGGCCGTGATGAAGGCTGCCTCAACTTGCCGCGAGCCCACGATGGGGAGACGGAAGATGACTCCGGCATTTTCGTGCTATTGGCGGCTGCCAAATTTAATGTACCGTGTGTCCTGGCAGTCGAGTGTAACGAACTACGAAGGTTCGCAACTCTGGCTGAGAGAGGCAAAAGCGCATCGAGAAACGAAATTCTGTCGGGGCGCAGCACCTGCATCAGTGTGGATGTTGCGCGTTGCAGATTGGACTCCCGCAAAGGAATTCTTCCGTTTGCAGGCTAAAGGCTCTGAATCAGCTCGCAAGATCTTAAACCCGTCTCCCAAGCTTTGTACTTAGCGACCATGTTTCGCGAGACTAAGACTACATGACATACAGCAGCAGCAACTCTAGGACGTGTGCTTCCCAGCATGTGGCGATGCCATTCTTTGCGGCCTCTGCGGCTGTGCCGTCCGCGCCTAGGCCTAAACTCGTGAGGGGCCGGGGTGTTCTGGTTTTGGTCTTTGGACACTTCTCTGCGCTTTTGCCAGGGCCTGTTGGACGGCTGCGGCTCCCGAACACGGGACCGGGGCAGCCGCCAGGCTCGGCATCGCCGCAAAATGGACTTATCCATTGTTTAAGTGATGTGCTGTACTTTGCGGCTTTGCGGCATCTGCCAGCTGCTAGGGATTTCCCCGCCGCTGCGGCTGCTGTCTTCGCAGGACCACCTTCTGCCTCAAGGCTTACGGACATCTGTGGTCCGTGCCGACAGGATGTGGGGCGGGACAAGACCGCGGTAACTGCAAAGGACAAAGACGGCCTGGGCCCTCGGATGTTTGGGGGTTCCGTTGACTCTGCGAGACGGATCGTTCCGGATGCGGCATGTAAGCAGCCACTCGTGTTCTGAATTCCGCGAGACTTGCAGACACCATCGTGATAAACTGGAGACAGCAAGAGTGTTGGGACCCGGCTGGTTCAATCACCCTGAGCCCCACGACAGCGGTGTGTTGTTTCGAGCTTCACGAAAAAAGTTCCGTCTAGAGGCAATGCATCAGTCTTCCTGCTGATTCGATCGCTTTGGCCGCGGGAAGCCTCGCACCAGGCAGTGCTGGTGTCTGCTTGTGTCCTTGGCCGCGACATGTCCTCTCGCAGGGCCGCATCGGCTTTGCAGTGGTGGGGCTGGTAGCCGGCAAAGCATTGGCCATCTTGGCACCCCTGCAGCTGCTGGACAGCATTGGGAGATGGAATTGGACTGAAACTAAATGAACCGAGCAGAGGAGCCACGTTCTCTCAAGTTTCCAGTGTGTTGAGGCAGGATCGAACCGTTCGTTGTCGATGCCTTGATCTGAGGCTCGGGCACTTGGTTGACGCGCTGGGCTCTGGCATCGAAGCCCTGCCTTTGGGGCTGCTGGCTGCCACTCGGACAGACGCAAAGAGCAGGGGGAGGGTGAAGTCTTCGAGCAGTGAGTTCCGAGGCGTATGGCTTAGCCCGGCTCTCCACGAGTGTGACTGGACGGCATATGCCAGGAGGCTTCTTTCGATAGGAAAGGTGCAGTCCCCGCCAAATGTCCCATTGATTGAAGGGTGCAAACTTGACTTCAAACACGAGGGAGGCACAGGAAGCTGTACTGGATAGATGCGAGGCAGTGCCCTTCTTCTGTAGATTCAGATCTGCTTAGGCATTCAATGAGCTGCGTGCAGCGCTCTTCGCGACAGTTTCGCAGAGCAGCTGCAGGGCTCTTGCCAGACGCAGCTTCGAGCACCTTGGCGGCTATGCCTTGGCAGCCGACGAGTTTTTGAACGGACGTGTGCAAAATCCGCTGCACCGCGGCGCAGCAGCTATGTCGCTGCCGTCATGACCGTGCAACAAAGGCATCTGCATCATTTGGACACGCAGCTTGGCAGCATTTGCCTGAATGCGCATTTGGTTCCTGCGCAAATTTGTCTCACCAGTCGAGCTGAGGAGTTTCCTGCTGTCCAGCAAGCCTGGTGCACTGAACGCTCCGGGCTGAGATTTTTGCCCTGTCGCGTTGATAGTGGCATGTCAACAACCACAAAGCATAGAAGGTCAGGATCCGAAGTTTTCACAAGAAGTGTTTGTCTTCACACTTACTTGCGGTCGATGTCCTTAAACTGTCAGTTCACCCAGCATCAGCTCATGAAGCATGGTACTGCACGCTGCCTGTTTGCTGTCTGGTAAGTTCGACAGGTTGTGGTGAATCGTGCCACAAAGTCGCTCACACAGGCAGTGACTCAGCAAACTGCCTGCAGCCTGGATACGTGTATGTGTGTGTGTGTGCGCATCTGTGCCAGGTGCTGAACATGCTCCTTTTCAATGTCATGCCCATAGCGGTCGAGTGTGCCATGGCGTTGACGGTCATGGCGTCGCTCGCAGGCAGCTGCTGTGTCTGAACGTACCAGCACAAGAGAGCATGTAGACGAAGGACCCGGCTGTGCCCTAGCAGCATCTTCCACTATCGCTTTGTACGTGGCAAGCTCCTTGGTATAGGTGACTGGGACTTCGCGCACAAGCGAGAACATCCCATGAGAATTTTGGATCTGCCACAGCCGAGGCTTTCACCACGAAGTTCTCCAATCACAGGCAAACGGATAGTCTTAGAGTCTTAGGGCAATGCCACAGTCTGCCGTAGCCACTGCCGAAGCGCTGTCTGTGACCTGTGAAGTCAGGCGGGAGATCATGCGAAGATCTAATCGAGCAGAAGAGGATGCAAGTGCGGCGCGGGACTTATCTCCACACCGTTTCGGCGTAGGGTGTGGGTTTGCTGCTCAAGGTTTTCTTCGACTCCTTGGCGAACTGCGAGGTGGTGAAGTACTTCCGTGGTGAGGCCAGGCCCTGAGGCCTCAGCAGGCCTCAGGAAACTCCCGAAACACTGCCATTGACCGGCATCGCGCGCAAGCCAGGCACAAGAAAGCAGGAGGTACGACCATGCTCTGGCCAGATTTGAAGCAGAGCAGGCCAGCCTGGCAAACAGTTGACGAGACATTCCAACTGTCTCGGAAGCAGGTGGCCGTACTGCACTCTTTGGCCAAGTCGGATACCCTAGACTGCTTGCGATCCCCAGACCTGGACATGCTTTTACTGTCTGGCACACTAGGCTGAACTTCGGCCAGTCGGTGATTGTTGTCGGAAGTTTCACTTCCATACTGGCGCTGACGTCATTGCGGGTGCTCAACGGAGACCTTCCTGTGGAGCCGACGCGTTTTCTGTAATGCAAACCAGTGACGGCGCGCAAGAAGCGGCTTTCTCTTCATTTGGAAAGCAGACACTGCAGAGAGAACTATGAAAGGGCACTTGAACCGCGTGCGTCCTGGATAGGTTGGTGATGTTGTGGCGATTCATGGAATTCTGGTCAGTGCCACAGCCTGTTGGGAATGAAAAGCAAGGATCACCTTTGATGCCTCCTCCCTTCTCGAGGCACAGTTGATGCAGCCTCTGGGCATACTGGGAGGTGTTTACCGGGCCAAGATCCCAGCTTTTCGCAGCAGAAACTTCCACTGATTCCTCCAAAGCCTTTGACGGCATTGATGAAGCTGGCTCTCCGATGATACTGAGATGGCTGCAAGCCGACGGTGGTATTGTCGACAGTATTACGGTCTGATGTCGTGCAGGCGTAGCATATGGTAAAACGACAGCTTACTATTCAGGCCCCCGCCGCAGCCCGCGTTGCGGTACCCGGTTTCGCCATGGTACTTGTCTTGACATGTCTTGGCTCAAGTCTTAGCATCTTTTCCTCACATGCCCAACTCGCGTAGCGGCTGAGAGGCAGACCATTGTGCAGGCAGCGCTCTGCTTTGCAACTTTTGTTTATGAAGTAGGTCGTGCGCTGCTTGCCCAGGGTATGCCAGCAGCCGATGAATATGCTACGAACACAGATTTGGAAGGGCAGATCGAGCATGTGAGGCCGATCCACGTCTTTGAGGGAGAGGTGAAGCATGTCATCAGCCAAAGTGCAGTGAGAGCTGTCTTGCAGGGAGAAAGGTGAACTGTCGGAAGCACAGTGCAGATCCTTATGCGTCTCTCGGTCGGGATTAACATATGACCCTGCCGCGGCTGTGCATGGTGGTCTTGGACTTATGAAATGGTGTTTTGTCCAGGAGAAAGTCAGGGAAATTCTTCAAGAGGAGTCGAACTGCCAGCCTGTGCGCTGTCCGGCGACTCGGCAGATTCTTCACGAAGGCTCGGAGTCTGAACGAGCCTCCGCAGCCGACAGGTGACCGTCTGCGGAGACATTCATGGCCAGTTCCTAGACTTGAAGGACTCCCCAGCAAAAAGACCAAGCTTGCGCCACGGTGCGTGACTCCAGGAGCTCTTCCGGATTGGCGGCCCGCTTCCAGAGCTCCTGGGCTTTGCAAGCCTACAGGGCCTAAGAAACTTCTTGATCTTATTGGACCTGCTCAGTCTCCGCAATTCCTTGCTCAGGACCAACTACCTCTTCCTGGGTGACTACGTAGACCGCGGCTACTACTCCGTGAAAACCGTGTCGCTCATGTTTCTGTACAAAGTGCGTTTCAAGGACGCCTGGAAGCTGGTTGTCTTTGCCTGGGAATCAAGACACCCGCCACGCTCCTCCCGCATAGCCTGCCCGAGGAGCGCATAACTATTCTCCGCGGCAACCATGAGAGTCGCGACTTGGACGCACGATGTCGGTCTGTTCGCAGCAACTTGGCAGCTTGCGATCACGACGAGAGACTCTGCCCGAGGCCAAATTACACAGGTGTACGGCTTCTTCGATGAGTGCGTTCGAGCATACCGTGGTCCGCAGGCCTTTTGAGATAGGGCAGAATCTTGCCATTGGTGCTCCATTATGATCAGAGCAACATGCCACCAGTGGTATGTCACCACAGGTCTGGAAGCTATTCACCGACTCCTTCGACTACTTGCCAGCTTCCTGTCAGAATTCTGAGGATGCTGTTGTGAGATCCGACCTTCAGCTACGACCTCGGGGTCAACCCAGCCTCCCCCGTGCTGCCCAGACTGTCCAAGCCCGAAGCCTGCAGGCGGCTGCAATCCACAGCCTAATCCCAAATTTCCCAAATCCCTGCCTGGCGGTAGCGAGGGAGGAGGGATTTGCCTTCAAAGCGTCACCGGCACCAGCGTGGCAGCTGCATGGGCTGCAGAATTGAGGTGACGGCTGTGATCGAAAACCAGATCATCTGCAGCGTGGTTTGAACAGCTGACTTGGCACTCGGCGAAAGTTGAAACACCGGAGCTCACGCAGCGACGCAGGCATGCATGGGGGCATTTCGCCTTCGCTCGACTCCTTGGATAACATCCGCCAGCTGGACCGCATCCAAGAGGCCGCCCGCTTCTCTCTGTGGCACCCAAGCCCTGGCGTCGTTTAACTAGCGACTACTAGTGTACAGTAGATTATTAGATTGTAGATCTGTGTGCCGTGACGAGCCTTTCAGACAATCCGTTTTCATGGAGAAAGCTCATGTGCCTGTCTGCAACGGCCCGAATTCCGGCAGTCTCGCAAACTTGACTGCAGGTGCCTCACGAGGGACCTATGTCCCTTAGCCAAATCGGTGGGCTCGGTGTTGTCGCTGGTTTCGTTGTCGTTTGTGAATCGTCATGCTTTCACGCACAGTGACACACGCAGGGCTAGATTTTGCGCTTTGAGGTGTGACCTGTTGTGGTCAGACCCTGATGATCGATGTGGCTGGGGCATCTCGCCGCGTGGTTCCTCGAGCGCAACGGTGTTGCAGCTGTGTTTCTCGGTCATTTTTCAGCTGCCGTTCGTGGTTTCCTTGTGTCCTTGATGAAGGTGCTGGCTACACTTTTGGACAGGACATCTCAGAGCAGTTGCTGGGCTGGCAATCAGCTTCACACTTCTGCTTCGCACTACTGACCCTGAGATATTGCAGTCGTGACTTTAACTTGCAGCTGTGGCAGAAGCAGGTTTAACCACGCCAATGGCCTCAAGCTGATTGCACGGGCGCACCAGTTGGTTATGGAGGGCTACAACTGGTGTCACGACAGGCAGGACGTTTCGATCTGAGCTGCTTGAATTAAAGTGCACCTGCTGTTGAAGTACTTGCGCACCAGGCACGTGGTGACGATCTTCTCGGCGCCAAACTACTGTTACAGGCGCCGAGTATGCTTGGAAAGGTCTCGTTGAGACATTCCGTACTTCTCTCGCAACAGGTGCGGCAATCAGGCAGCTGTTATGGAGATCGATGAGCATCTCAAGTGCCCTCCTTGAGTTAGTAAGTTACTACATACTTTATGTATATGTGCACAATGTACAAAACCAGATACGTACACACACACACACATACAAGCAGTTCATACATATCATGCATATCATACATAGGTCCATACATACATACATACATACATACATGCTTACATGCTTACATGCTTACACATGCTAATAGACATACGTACGTACATACGTAGTTACATGGGTCTCGGGTTGGGTCAGAAGCTGCGAGATGCATGTCAACGGTTGCATGCAAGCATGTCATCTATGGATCTACCTATCTATGTCTATCTATCTATACAGTTGTCTCTTTTTGAATCTATCTATCTATCTACCTATGTACATGCTATCTATCTGAGTATCTGCCTATGTATATACCTGTCCCTACCTGTCCCTGTTTATCAATCTATCAATCAATCAACCTATTCATCTACCTACCTATCCCTCCATCTCTCTATCTCTCTCTCTATCTATCTATCTATCTATCTATCTATGTATCTACCTATCTACCTATCTTTCTATCCATCTATCTATCTATCTATCCATACCCCTTCGATAGAGGGGTGGGGGGTTGTTGTTCCCCTTATTCGGAGAACAACAACCCGCCCCCCCCGTTGTTGTCCCGGCCCCCTAAACTGTTGTTCACACGAACACGCCCCTGCTGCTGCTGCTGCTGCTGTTGTTGTTGTTGTTGTTGGCAGCA